CTGCGCCCCTCTGAAGTGCGCGCGCGGAAGGCCACCTCCTGCGGGTCCAAAGCGATTAAGAGGAGGAGGAGGAGGAGGAGGAGGAGGAGGAGGAGGAGGAGGAGGAGGTTGAGAAGGATCACGAGCGAAAGAAGGACCTACACGTACATGCATCCACGCGGGTTTCGAGAGTACGCATGGCGCGAACGTTCGTATCACGTGGCTGGTCTCGCGGATTGGGGGGCCGTGTTCGTGTACGGTGGGTCCGCGTCATGTCGACCGGTGGCGACCCCACCGCCGCCATTCAATGTTTGACGTTGCCAGCGACCCAGAATCCATCATGGCTAAAAGCTCTGACGTTCCGGAAACGGCCGATCGTTCCAGGTTGAACGATCCCCGCGGTGTCAGGAACCAACGCCGAAGTCGGAACGGCGCGTACTTGCCGTACGGGTTGGGCGCGTACGTCTTCTGTGGGCTCCCTCGAGGAGAAGGATGCGGAGGAGGGGCAGGCTCCGAGCGCAGACCGCGCGTCTCGGGTCGTCCTCGCGGGCCCCGGCAGCTCGGGCGGCCTCGCGTTGGAGTCGAGCTCCTGGCCTGCCTGTGCAGTCTCCTCCTCGCACGTACTGCTGTCCTCTACCCGTCGGTCGTTGAAAGTAGGTATTTTCGGAAGCAACTTCTGGGAGGTCAAATTCTGACTTCGCCCTGGCCCGAACTCTGGCTTGATACTTCTTGATCCCGTGTAATCCAGCTTGATCCCGTTTATTCCGGCTGGATCCCCCTTGACCCGCGGCCTAATCCGTCCGGCGTACCATCCCCCCAATGGGGCTGAATCCTCCTTAATCTTTCCGACGACCTCTCAATAGTTGCTTCCTAAGGCATTTTCGGATGCCCAGATCCTAATCTAGTTCAAGCGCCTTCCAACTTCCAGGGCTCTCTGGGAGGGGCCGAACCCATTCTAGTTGATCCGCCTTTCTTTCTTCATGTTTCCACCTCCTTCCGACCGACGTGCAGGGGGGGTGATAGGCAAAAGTCGAGCCTGTCCCTCTGCAGGGGGACGATCTTTTGTGATTTTTGAACATTTGTTTTGACTATGTTTAATATTTCGTCGAACATCGGCCTGCAGGGGGACGTGCCCGAGTTAAGGCTCAGGAGGGAACGCATCGACGCCCAATCGCTCATCCAACGCCGATAAGGGGCCCGATAGCTCGCTCCACCTTCAGCGTGCGGATTCGCTATCGGGGGCCCATCGCCGATACATTGGCGATGTGTCGTCGCTTGGGAGGGCCTTGAGGCCGGTGCCGCCGACCCTGGAGGCGACGGCGTTGACCTCGGCGAAGAAGATGATAGGGGAAGGCGCCTCGGGAGGAGGGGGAAGACGACACAGATGAGGCGGAACAGGTGCAGACACAGAGAGGGGGATCGTCTCGGATGTAACCTTAGGCCGCGGATCAGGCTAACTCACCTGACCGATGTGAATGACCTGCCGCGCGGCCTAAAGTGGGGGTCGGCGGACAGCGACGATACTGAGGTGCCTAGTGGGGAGCACCGATCGATACTCCACCTCGCGATCGCATTCGCTGGCCGCCGCCACCTTCTCACCCATGCCCACGTGCGATCCTGTCGAATCAGGGCTCCTACAGGGTGGCATCCCAGGTCGGGGAAGCGAACTTGCCGCGGCAGTGGTCCGCATTCTGATGAGCCTTGGGCCGTGCGCTGCCCAGCTGTTCCCCTCAGGGGAGCGGATGGGCCCCAAATAGGTCCGCGCGCCTCCCTGCCGCTGAATTGAGGCGTGTGTGTTCGCAGGGGCGTGCCATGCCAAAGCATGGAGGGTGCACCTGGAGGGGATCAATCCCCAGCATGACGGGCACCCGCATCAGGTGCACCGGGCCTGCCTGCCTGATGCCAACGCATGCAAGTCCATCGCGCTGCGAGCATCCCTGATTGATATGTTTTTTCTAGCAGGGCTCGATTTGTTAGTAGTATGTGTATCATGCACTGATATATGACAGCAGGGCGGGGCAACCGTCTGCTAACGAAATTGCCCCCCTTAGCCTTCCGTAGGAGCAGGCAGACGCTCGAATCTGCTATCCCACTTAATGGGATTATTAGCCTAGCATGTGCTGTCTCCCGCTGCCGGCTGCTACCCGCGCCTCGGGGGTATTCCGTGACACCCAGAGCGGGCGGACAAATCATACCCCCCCCTCGAGAACACGAGGGCGGAAACCGTAACAACGCAGATTTTGGATGATACGAAACTGGGGGAAACTGTATCCCTCCCTTGTTGCGGCGTCTACTGCCACTCGGATCCCGGACGGGACTGGCAAGGGGGAAAGGAGGAGAGATGGGAGAAGAGAAGCCTGGGAGTCTCATGCGCGTGCTTCACGCTCGGGCGCGCGTGCGGTTAATAAATCCTCTGGTCCGCTAGTGTGCTCGGGGGCCCGACCGTCTGCTGAAGTGAAAGCAACAAACGCGGGAGCGGTGCGATGATCCTTTTTCCTCACAGCGACAACGAGTACCGAATCGCATCCCTCTGGCGGTGGCCCGTTCAGGTCCACCTCCTTTTTGATTGGTTTTCGCTAGGGGCTGCAATGCGAATTACTCTGCAAAAATTGCGGCCGCGAGAGGGGTAATCAGTCCCGCCCATGTCCCGCTCCACTCTTCGCTGCCGCTCCGTGTGCCTTCCCTACCCCACGACACCCTCAACAGCGAACCCTCTATAGGGATATATCTACAGAAAGTCGTCTATAGGGACCAGCACTTCCAGTACCTGCGCGTTCCTTCTCTTGTGTGACGGAGGAGGAGGAGGAGGAGGGGGAGGAGGAGGAGGAGGAGGAGGAGGAGGAGGAGGAGGAGGCGGAGGAGGAGGAGGAGGAGGAGGAAAAGGAGGAGGAGGAGGAGGAGGAGGAGGAGGAGGAGGAGGTGGAGGAGGAGGAGGAGGAGGAGGGAGGAGGGTATCGTCGATTCAATGCCAATGTTTCCCCGCCTGAGCCAGTTTCCCCGTATCAGTGGCCCTCATACTCGCGATCATGTTGATTCGGTGGCGGTCGACCTCAGGTGGTTTGTTGTCGGAAGTCGCCTGGCCCGCAAGCCCACGACAATTTCATTCCCTTCGATCAAACACGACTGTTTACAGACTGCGTCGGCGCATTTCTCCGGCCTCGTCGTGCATGCCCGCGTCTGCCCGCCACGACTCGCGTGCCTGCTTGTCGGGCATTCGCACAACCGTTCCCACCACCAACGGTTCACCTCGGTACACTCGATAACACGTAATCATGCCAGCTGTGCGCCGCGTGGCCAGTCCGAAGGTGGCCCATTCGCTGCTGGCCTTTGTTTGCGCCCTTCCGATCAATGGTCCGAACAAGTATGGTCCACCTGCGATGGTGTCGACTCGTTGAATAACACATACTGCCACGCTGACCCGACGCAATTGTTCATCATGATTGTGTTGTCCGCCCGACGTGTCGCCGAACGGTGCAACGGCGAGGTGGGCGTACCGTGTCACAAGCAGCCAGGGCCGACCTCCTCGGTGAGATGGTTCGCTCTTCGCCCAGATTGGATGTCGACCTGGTGCCGAGACGCTTGTCCTCTTTGCTGGGAACGATGCGTTACTCCAGAAGCAGGCGCGTGCATCATGATCTGCAACCGCCTCTGGGCTTCAAAAAATCTGAGCCATCATCATGTGCTCCACTTTTCACGGTTGCACTTGTCCTATGGACGTCGGAGTCGGGATTACCATGCGTATTGGACTGAGTTGGACTTTCGTCCGGGCACGTCCCGCTTCTGTGGTTGTCACGAGCTCTGTTTCTCTGCCGCCCTTTACGAGCATGCCGGCAATATTGGGTGTAGTTCCGAAGGTTGAGCCGATCCGTTCCATCTCGTTGGCGGTCCCCACATGTGCAACTCGGAAACAGCCCTCCACTGCCGCAGTGCAGGACAGCCGTCAAGTTCACGAAGAATATCACCAGCTAGGTCCAACGCACATGAGCATTATCGTCGAGACGCCAAGCATGCTGATCCTGGCCGCTGTATGTAACGGCGATGGTGGGGGTGCTTCGTGGCCAGCCCAAATGCAGCGAAGCGATCTTCGCGCTTTGCTGCAGTTTGTTCTGCGCGAGTTCGGCGTCGCAAAAACAATATTCTCAGCATCGCCGTTAACCCAACGTTGTCGTTAGCGTGGCCTTGGAAGCTGGCCAGGGTGGACCCGATGAGGGTTCTGTGGACTCCTCTCGAGCGGGTTTGGGCCGGGGGTGGCACGCGGGTGGCGGCCCTCGGAGCAAGAGCGCAGTGGGCTTCTCAGAGTCCCCCCTGCTTTCTAAGACGACTTCTTCCACTCAGCCACGCGCAGAGGGGGGTGGGGGGAGGGGGGAGGGTTTCTATGGCCAGCGTGGGCCTTATCCATAGATGTAAGGCCGGGGCCTTCTAAGAAGGAGGTTGCTTCTAAGAAGCCCCCCCCCCCTCCACCCCCTTGTGCGCGCCGCCAATACACGGTCGGACCGAGGTGTGAGGTCGAGGCTGGTTCGGGAATGGTACCCTTCTGTTCTTCTTGTTTGTTGGCCGTTCTTGTGCATTCTGGGGGAGGGTGCCCTCGAGTGGGCTTCGGCTTTGCCAGCGGAGGGACGCATGTTCTTGAAGGGATCTTCTGTCCTAGGTCTCTCAGTCTGAGCGAGAGGGGCTTCTCAGAATCCCCCCCGCCTTCGTCGTTATGGCCAGATCCTTCTTGAAAAGTCCTTGTTAGAACGAGTTCCCGGACGTGTCCAGGGTTCGATTCTAAGGGAGCAGGAGGAGGAGGAGGAGGAGGAGAAGGAGGGAGTCGAGCTACCAATTCAGGCTCCCTTCGCCGTCCGTGGTCCAAACACAGTCGGCACAACGCTTCCTGCCAATATGCTGGACCTCCACGCATATGCGGCCAGACAGGTATGCAGGTAAGAGCGAGGTGCCTCGCGTGATTGGATTTCTCAAGGGTGTGAGGATCTCCCTGCACCCGCTATGTCAGATGATGCCACCGTGCAGAGCGGCGTGACAGGAGTCCCGGTACGAGCTCATGAAAGCGGGCGAGCGGATTTACGGTAACCAGGTCGTCTTTTGTCGTTGCCTGTGCCGCAACGTGGTGCTCATCTGCCTGCTCGGCATTTAGCTATGCATCCTGAATCTTCCTTTTCCTCTTCCTCTTCGTCCCCCTCCTTCTCGCCTTCTCCTATTCCTATCCTCCTGATCCCGTCTCTTCCACGTCCTCCTTCCTCCTCCCTCACCTGTTCCTCCTCTGCTCACGCACTCGTCCTGCCTCTTAGCTCGTCCGCCTCTTTCTCATTTGCCTCGCCTTCTCTTGGAGTCATCCATCAGATATTTCTAGATGATACGTACTTCATGTACCAGAAGGTCGGCCTGGAGGGCCTGTTGCCGCAGCCCGCCAGGTGCCGAGGACCTCCCAGTGGCCAAGATTTTGGGACAGTGCCGCGAGAGCTCCACGAGAGCCGACGACGTCCCCTGGAGGAGCCCAAGGCGGCCTAAGAGGGCCCCAAGACGGTCCCAAGAGGCCCCAGGCTCCCCCAGGAGGCTCTCACCAGTGCTACAGTCAGGAGGGGAAAAACATACACACAGACGCAATTAATCGGCGACTCCCAGGAAAATGCGGGAAAATATGAGACGTGCGGGGGAAGAGGAAAACCCAGAAAATATGGGAACATATGGGGAATCCTGGGAATTGTGTGTATTTATTCGTGTGTCCCTGGGCCCCTTCATACGAAGGAGTCCCAAGACGGTCCCGAGAGGCCGCCGCAGTGCCCACAGAGGTCCCCAGAGGGGCCAGACCAGTCAAAAAGCCAGGGAATGCCTCAGGCTTTCTGGTTTCAGGACGTCTCACTTGTGGACAACACGTGGCTCCAAGATGGCCTCGGAGCCCGAACAGGTCCGCAAGAGAACCCCAATTCTGCCCCAAGATGGCCCAGGATCGGCGTCACCTCAACACACTGATACTATGTGTGCGTCGCCCCACCAGGGGCGACGCGCGCACCGAGAAATCTTGTAGTATATGCGTCGTGGCGGGCGCTTTCTGGCCACACCGCTCGGCAAACGATATACTACAAGATCGGTATACTACATGTACGGGTCGGACCCGTGCCTCCATGGAAAGCACATAGTACTTGTATGCCTCTGTGCGTCCCACAGGACTGCCCTGCGAGAGCTCCAAGAGTTCCGACGTTGGCCTCCAGAGGAGCCCCAGACGGCTCCAAGAGGGCTCCGAGATAGTCCCAAGCGGTTCCTGGGCTTCCCCAGGAGGCTCCCAGCTCTACAGAGCGGTCCCAAAAGGGCCCCACGATGGCCCCAAGCGGCCACTAAAGGGTCCCCAGAGGACCTCCAAGAGGGCCGGAACAGTCAAGCACCTGAGCGATTCCCACGCATTTTTATTTTTTATTGTTGGAATTCCAAGGTATTGATAACGTGTGGCTAAAAGATGGCTTCGGAGGCCCACACGGTCCCAAAGAGAGCTTCAATCTTGCCCAAGGATGCCCCAGGATTGCCCCGAATACCAAGCCTCAGTGCGACTTCAGACACCAACGCGTGGGCTTCCAAGCCAAGGATCCGATCATCTGGATATGGCCCCTCTGCCACGCTATATTCTGGCCCTATTTCAAGTAGAACTTGAGCGCGCAAGAAGCGCTCGCGATGGTTCTAGTGTGTGTTTGTGCGCGTATCACATACATCAGCCTACACATACCCCCACACACACATACAATAGTGTATGTAGGTAGCTACTTGTTGTCCATGCAAGCGCTTATTCATACAGTCGGATGACATATGTGGATGCCACGATATATACTTATATAATTCATGAACATGCACGTATGTATAGACTGTATGTGTGTCTGTCTGTATGCATGTAGGTATATATGCTTGCCTGTCTGTCTGCCTGTCTGCATGTATGCATGCATACATGCATGTACGCATGTATGTGTGACTGACTGTATGCATTCAATTATGTATATATGTGTGTGTGCGCGTGTGTACGCATGGCTATACATATGCGTGTATATGTATATGTATTACATATGTATATGTGTGTATATGTATGCATGCACAGATTTTACTATGACTGAATGTATACATGCATGTCTGTGCGTGTGGGTGACTGTGTGTATGCATGCATGTATGCATGTATGTATGTATGTAGGTAGGTAGGTATGTATGTATGTATGTATGTATGTGTGTGTGCGCAGGTATATAGGTCTACGTGCAGTCATACATGAACGCATGTATGTATGCGTGCATGTACGTATACATGCATGTACGCATGTCTGCACGTGTACATACATATACACATATATACATATATATATATATATATACATAGGTGCATGCGCGCATGCATGTATGTATGTACGCACGCACGCATTTATGCACGTCTGTATGTATGCATGTATGCGTGTATGCGTGTAGGTACATACGTATGTATGTATGTAGTTAGCTACGTGGGCATGCGGGTATGTGTGTATGCTTACATTAATGTACGTATGCGTGTATGTATATATGCATGGATGAACGTGCGTATGTACGTATGTGTGTACACCTGTACTTACAATATTTCGATGCACATCTTTAGGTATGTGTGCATGCATGTATGCATGTATGTATGTGTGTCTGTTTATGCATGCTTGTGCGTATGAATGTATGTATGGAGGTATGCATGCATTCATGTATATTTGTATGCATGTGTGCAGGCATGCATGTATGTATGCATGTTGATACGTATGCGTGTATACATGTATGTCTAATTGTATGCGTGTCTGTATGTATGTATGTAAGTATGCATGCATGTATGTAGGTACGCATGCATGTATGTATGTATGCACGTACGTATACGTTTATGCATGTCAGGGTGTATGTATGTATGTTAGCGTTTGCGTGTATGCATATATGTCTGTATGCATGTATGTATTTATGTATGCAGGTATGTATGTCTGTAGGTACATGGGTAGGTCGGTCGGTCGGTAGGTAGGTAGGTCGGTCGGTAGGTAGGTAGAGGTAGGTATGTAGGTAGGAACAGCGAGGAAGGACGACATTCGGACTGCGGGGGGTCGGGGGCGCGGAAGGCGGAGACTCGATGCGTTTGGAAGAGTGCCCGTGGTGGACCCTCCACATCGTTGTAAAGTGGGGGGTCTCCACAGAGCCCCCTTCCACCCAACAACGCGGAGGGGGAGTTCCTTCCTTTGTGCCCCCGCCCCACCCCTGCTTCCCCCGTTGGCGACGGAGGGGGCGGGAGCGGGCGCGCTCTGGCGCGCTCGAGGGGGTGCCAGGGCGGTAGGAAGTTGGAGGAGGAGGAGGAGAAGGAGGAGGAGGAGGAGGAGGAGGAGGACGAGGAGGAGAAGGCGGCGGCGAAGGCGGAGGCGGAGGCGGAGGCGGGCGCGAAGGGGCGAAGAGGAGGAGGAGAGGAGGAGGAGGAGGAAGGAGGAGGAGGAGAGAGGAGGAGGAGGAGGAGGAGGGGAGAGGTAGGAGGAGGAGGAGAGGAGGAGGAGGGAGGAGGAGGGGAGGAGGAGGAGGAGGAGGAGGAGGATCTTGGAGGAGGAGGAGAGGAGGAGGAGGAGGAGGAGGAGAGGAGGAGGATCTTTGAGGAGGACCTTGGAGGAGGAGGAGGAGGAGGAGGAGGGGGAGGAGGAGGAGGAAGAAGAGGAGGTGGAGATTGAGGTGGCTTGGAAGGCCGCCGCTCCGCGAGGTGGCCCCAGACGGCATGCCCGGCCCGGGCAAGCGGAGGGAGTCCGGGGGCGTCACCGGCAGCGATGCCTCGGACGCTTCGGCGCGCGGCGGGCCCCGCGGTTCTAGGCTGGAGGGCCGAGGTTTCCGTCGGTGGTTTGAGGTTGGAGGGTCGAGGTTTCCGTCCGGTAGTCTGAGGCTTTCGGCAAAGAACAAACGGCATAAACACAAACTTTTGGCGCTCCGCGCGGATCTCTTAGATCCGCGCTGGCCCCCCCCCCGGCGGCGCCTTCGGCGTCGCGCTCTGCGCGCCGGGGAGGGGGGTCAGCGCGGATCCAAGAAATCCGCGTGGATCACCGACAGTTTATGTTTATGCCGTTTTTCTTCTGTAGGTTTGATGTATGGAGGTTCTGATGTTCGACGGTTGAAGGTTTGAGGCTCGACGCTTGGAGGTTGGAGGTGTTGAGGTTGGCTCAGAGGGGGAATAGGTTCGGGGTTGGAGGTTTGAAGCTTTCGGAGATTTACTTTCGTCGGTTTTGGTCTGTTTTCCAACCCCGGGATGCATTCCAGCAGCTGCGCCTCGGCGAGAGCCTTCCCTGGTGGCCTGGATCGTCCCGAATGGCCGACGGAGACCTGTGCTACGATAGGGGGCCACATGTGAACACTACCCCTACCCCCCACGATTTCTGAGGGGGAGGGTGGGGTTCACTTCGCCCTATATGACCCGAAAGCCATCAGGCGCGGAGTGTCGCGGGCGGCCTGATTTTCAAGAGGAGGAACAGCAACCGATACCGCTGCCCTTGCTTCGTTTTGGCCTCCTGGGAGGCCCTCGTTGCCATCGCTAGACTCGCCTCGATATTTTTGTCCGAACGCACCCTGCGAGATGTTAGGGAGTAGCGATATTGGTATTGTACGGTTTCACCGATTGCATGGCCGGGGCCGTTCTGGAGGGGAAATCACACGGACACAAGTATTCGTCGACTCCCAGGAGAATATAGGAAAACAAGGAAGCGGGAGGGAAGACGAAGTCCAGAAAGTATTTGGAAATATGGGGAATCCTGGGACTTGTGTCTATTTGTTTGTGTGTCCCTGGGCCCCTTCAGCTACGAGCTCTTTCCAGATGTCATGGCTCCCTCTTCTAAGCTCACTGCGTCGTTAGGTCGCCGACGTGTTCCGCGCACATGCCTCTGGCCATGATCTGCGAGACCCCCCTCTTCGACGCCCCCTCGTGGACGCTCCCGAATCTGGGAGCCCCGGCGTGCCAGGAGGGCTGCTGGGGAAGGAAATGGAGTACGGTCGGACCGAGGTATAAGATCGAGGTCGTCTCGGGGAGGATGCCCTGATGTTCTTGCTGCTTGTTGGATGCTCTCGTGCATCCTGGGGGGGGCACCTTTGGACGCTCTGCATGCTCTGGCCAGCGGAGGGTCTCATGGTCATGATCGGGGCTGAGGAGACGCGGGTCAATGCAAAAGGGGGTCAGTTAGAGCGCCCGTTCTTGCAGAATCCTTTAGGGCCAGGGTCGCACTGACCTGGGTTTGGGTGCAGGATTCTGCAGGATCTTGCAGGATCCTGCAGGGTCCGACTGCGATTGACCCGGGTCTGGATTGACCTGGGTCAGTACATTCCCGCTTGAAGGATGTTCTTTTATCGTGGGTCCGACTGTATCGGTGTGGACCCCCCCCCGCAGTTTTCTTCGGTACAAATCATGGGAGCCTGGTGTACCTTCGTAATTCCCTCTTTTGCGTCGACTAGCGTCTATGAGCGTTTGGGACTCGATGAGATAGCGCCGATTCAGCGTCGGTTGGCGTCGATTAGCGTCGATTCGCGTCGAATTAGCGTCGCTTAGCGTCGATTCGCAAGCGACGACAAGATGGTATGGGAGGTTCCCATGAGTTGCCACCGAATTTTTTTCTAGGCCTCTCAGATAGTGTCGGAGTAGATGGTGTCGGAGGATCGCGCCGCATCGCCGATGAATCGCCGATGCGCCTCGATGTGGAGCCCGATTTTCCCCACGCCGACGTCGCCGATGCATCGCCGACGTCGCCGATGCATCGCTGTGCATCGCCGATGCATCGCGGATGCATCGCCGATGTATCGGCGATGCGGCGCGAGCCTCCGACCCCATCTACTCCGACCCCAGCTAGAGGGCCCCTACTGGTGGCGTATCATTGATGCTGTTTCCCCCCCCCCACCCCCGCAGTTTTCTGTCTCCTGTGGCCCCTCCCGGGCCCCGGGACTGCCGAAGACAACCCGGGATATGAGGAGCCCTCTGAGGTCTGGCGATGAGATCTATATATCGAGATGTCCGCTGCATCTGGCCAAGCATGTCCGCTGCATCTGGCCAAGCACATCCTGGGTCCTGGGATCTGAGGAGCCATTTGCGGTCTGGCTCTGAGGAGCCTTCTGAGGTCCCAGGTCCGACCAGGCGCCGCCGTCTTGCTTATGTTTCTGAGCAGTCGGGTGGGCCCGCTGACCCTTGCGGGACGGCCGAAGACAAACCCCGTGGTATGAGGAGCCTCTTGAGGTCTGGCCCCAGCTCGCCGATGCCATCGAAGAGCTCCTGGTCCCAACCGAGGGAGACCTTGTCGGTGGCGAGCCAGGGGGGAAGTGAGAAGGGGTTGGCTTTCTCACTTCCCCCCTTCTGGCGATCGCAAGCATAGATCAAGGGGGCGTGGATTAGCGGCGGGCCCCGTTTCCATGGGAAATCCCGGATTCCCGCCGCCGAGCGAGGCGGCACCGGCCGCATTTTTGGGAGGGCAGCTCCCCCGATCCATGGATTTGGCGACCGCGCGCCAAATTCATGGATCGCTAATCCATGCTTGCGCGCCCCCGAACTGCCCCAGCCGCTCTTCTCGCCGGCCAGTCCGATCCCTGCCGCTCGAGCCATGGCCTCGGTCACCGCCCGCTTGTGGCCCTCAAGGCCTGGGCGAGCACCAGCGCTGGATGGCCTGCTCTCGCCAGGCGGCCTGGTCCGACTGAGGGAGAACTTGTCGGCGGCGAGCCAGGGGGGAAGTGAGCAGGGGTGAGCTCCCATGCCGCTGGCGCGCTGCCCCGTCCAGGCCCTCGCTGGCGTGTTAGAACCCTCTCTCGCGGCGCTCGACCGCCTCGCCGTGGACCTTGTGGCCGGGCTCCAGCGGGGCGGCAGCCGCCCCCTCGGAGAGGTCCCCTCCTCCTCCTCGTCCTCCTCCTGCTCCTGCACCTCCACCTCCACCTCCTCCTCCTCCTCCTCCTCTTCCTCAGCCGCCGTCTCCTGCTCTAGCCCCTTTCTTCGCGGCCCAGCAGGCACCCCACGCAGAGCAGCTTCCGCCCCCAGGGCACCCTTCATGTCATGCCATCGCGGCTGGCCATCCATATTTCCTTCGCTCGCGATCTTCTGGACGATATTCCAGAGCTGGGGTGTGTTTAACCCGCTCAGCACGGTCGCGCCACCGAGAAGCTTGCAGATGACGAGACAGTTCAGCGCAGTCGATTTCATCATGTTACCAGCCACTCGTGAGAGGTAGTTTGCCCCCACCAGCCCCGACGACCAGCACCAGACCTACCTGCTGGAGCTCTATTTCGGCAAGCACCAGGACAAGCTGAATAAGTTGGTCGGGGACAACACAGCGGACGAGCTCGCGGGGCTCCCCGTCGAGGAGCGCATCTACGAGGCTTGGCAACGACGCGAACACGTTGCGGTTCTTCCACTGTCTCGAATCATGGCCAGCTCCAAATACGGCAAGCGCAACCGCAACTACAGCCGCGCGACCAGAGCACGCCCCAGTGTGCAGGAGAGGGTAGTTCACTTTGCCGCAGGCGGCCAGCACGAAGGGTTTAGCGCTCGCCAGCTCGACCTCGAGGAGGAGAAGCGCATCTCGAAAGAGACCTCCCACGAGTTCATCACAGAGCACAACCTACAGGTTCGCCAGGAACCTGAGGACGCCAAGGACGGCACCAAGCGAGCTATCCACGGCGTCAACAAACGGCTCAAGTACTTCAAGAAGGGCACCCCCGTGCCCGACCGGACACTGCCCGCCGAGATCTTCCAGATAACCTTCCAGCCCACCTACTTCACCAAGCAGAAGCCGAAGCTGACAGGCGCGGGCTACGATGACGAGCTCGCTGAGGCCCCCCTCGCGCAGGAGAGCTTCGAACCAGTCCTCAACCGCGCGTACCGCGTCGGCTTCAAGTCCAAGCCGTGGCCACTTCCACCTCCCCATGCCCGCGGCTGCTGGCCCCCTCGGCGTCGCGTACTCCCCACACGACGCCAACAACGAGGCGGAGAAGCCTACCAGACCAAGGGCGACCTCACGCTGAAGAAGGCGCTCACGGTGATGATCAAGCAAGTGCTGGCCAACACTCAGCAGATCGCCTGGGTCGCCGTCTACAGCACGTCTCCGATGTCGGCTCAGTCCCAGGTGTTCAAGGTGCTCCATGCCCGCAGGAAGTTCTACGCGGACAAGTGCAAGGAGGGCAAGGGTCACTCGCTCGCTTCGTCCCTCTGCCCCGCGGACGTGGGCGCCAATGCTAAGAGCAGTCTCACCGAGCTCGGGAAGTTAGTGGACCAGTTCAGTGTGGCGACTGACCTCTATAAAGTGAAAGCACCTGATGATCAGCAAGTGCAATGACAGCTACCACGCGAAGATCACACTGCATCCCGTGCAGGGGCCCAGGACCGTCGCCGAGGCCGAGGAGGTTCCGCACGAGGAGCAGAAGCAGCAGTGCAACACCAAGGACAGCAACCACAGCGCGCTGATCCAAGTGGGAGCCACGGCGAAGACGGACAACCCACCTACGGGTGTCATGGAGGACGAGCTGGCTGCGTGGAGGGCAGGGCTACGACTATGAGTACGTGAACATGGATGGCCGATACGACTACGCCTCGTTCGGCAGGTGATTGGCGTGCGTGGCGCCGTGATCACAATGAAGGTGCCGCTCTGAGCGGCGACGGCGGGGGCCCGCACTTGCGGCCGAACGCGCTGCCTTGCCCCCCAATGCCGCTCTATCTATCTATCTATCTATCTACCTCCTCTTCCTCCTCCTCCTCCTCCTCCTCCTCCGGCGGCCGCGTGTCTGCCGCGCGCTGGAAACGCTGCGATCGGGGGCCGGCGCAACCCCCCAACCCCACTACAAGCACGCCGCTCAGCGGCTAGCGAACCCCAGAACCGAGGGGGTGCGCCGACTGTACTTCGCATGCGCAAGAGCGCGGCGGCGACGTGCAGCAGGCCGCGTGGCCAGCGGCCTGCGGTCCCACCGCCAGGCGCCACACCTCCTTCGGGAAGTGCAGCGCCAGCGCATTCCCACCGCCAGGCGCCGCCCGGCCCAGCAGCGCCGCAGTCGCCCCGGCCGCTCCCGCGCCGCCCCCGCGTGCCAGCCTTTGCCCCGCCACCGGCTGCGCCAGGCGCCCGCCGCGCCGCCGACAGCGGCCGCCGCGCCTGCCCCTGCGCCCGCCTGCCGCCGCCCGCGGCCTGGGCGGCTCCGGCCGCCGCCTCGCGCCCCCGCCCAGCTCGCCCTCCTGCTCCGAGAGCCGCCCGGCGCCACGCGCCAGCCCAGAGGCCCAGGGCCCAGCAGCGCAGAGCCGCCTTAGCCCCGCGCGGCAGCCGCCCGGCGCCGGTTGGACGTCCCAGCGCCCAGGCCGAGGCCCCGCAGCAGTTTCAGCGCAGCCCAGCCGCGCGCCGCAGCTGGTGGGCCAGCTCCCGCTGCAGCGCGCAGCTGAGCACCCGGTAGGCTCGCGCAAGCTCTTCCTGCTGCGAGTCCTCCGGGAGCTACTCGACGTCCAAGATAGCCCGTTCCGGGACCGGCGCCTGCCCCCCACGCGGCGCGCGGGCGCTGTCCCACGTGGGCGCCCGCTGCTCTCGTACAGCGGCGAGCAGTGGCACCGCCTGCCAGCGGGGCCGCCCGCTGCGCGCGCCACGCCCGCGCGCCGCGTGACGACGCCCCCGCCCGGCTGACGCACGGCCGCGTGGAAACCCGCCGGATCCAGCGGCGCTTGGCACGGCGCTCCGCCAGCCGTCTGGTTCTGGCAGGTCGCCGCCGCGCGCGCTAGCTCGTCTGTGGAGCACTCTGGCCGCGGCAGCTGGGCGCAGCTGCGAGTGGCCGTCTGCCAGTGCTGGTCCTCCAGCGTGCAGGCCAGCTCCGTGGGGTACTGGAGGTCGGCGCCAGCCCCGGGCCCCGCGGACAGCAGCGACGCCTTGCTGCAGTGGTGCATTCGCTGCTTCGCAGCAGCGTGGGTTCTCTTATGCAGCATAGCAACCAGGATTTTCTGCTTTGTCGGGTGCCCCAGCAAGGCCTCCAGGGGCGCCGCTGGCTCAGGGTCCGCGCCCTGGCGCGCCAGCTCAGCCCGGGTCGCCTCGAGTGCGGCTGCGGCCTGCGGCAGCGCCGCCAGCATGTCTGCAAAAGTGGGGATTTCTGAGGCACCGGAGTCGTCCCGCACCTCCTCCGCCGCCTGCGTCCACGCCGCCCAGCTGGCGGGCGCCCGTCTCGTGACCGCCCACTGCGCGCCGGCTCCTCCGAGTTTCGCTGGCAGGCCCAGCAGCTCGCACGCCTCTAGCCCGAGCTGTCGCCCTAGCAGCTTCTCCCAGCAGCCCCGCAGCGCGGCGTCGTAGCGGAAGGTCTCCTTTCCCGCGGCCAAGGCCAGCTGCAAGTTGTGTTGGCTGGCGTTGCCGGCGTAGGCGTTGAGCAGCGCGCCCGCCTCCTGCCGCTTGAGCCCCCCTTGCAGCAGCCGCTCCAGGTTGGCCCAGAGCCTCTCGAAACGCGCCGTGGCCCCGTCCAGCCCGCAGCCCTGCCCGCCGAGAGGGAGCGCCGCCCCGTCGGCGACTCCAGGAGCCCAGAGCTGCGCGCCGAGGACTGGCAGAACGGGCACGCACTTGCTCGCGAGCTCGGCCTCGACAGCCTGGACACCCGCAGGGGGCCAGACCAGCGTTTTGCCGTCGTCCAGCTCCAGCCCCAGTGGCGCGAGCACCTCGCGGAGGCCCAGCAGCGAGAGGGCGCCGAGGCCTGCCCGCGCCACCAAGTAGGAGTCGTCGAGGAAGGAGTACAGGCGGGCGGCTGGGTCCAGCTGCTGCAGCCTGTGCAAGAGCTGCTCGAGGGCGCGCCGCTGCCCCACGGCGAAGGCCGCCGGGGACGGGGTCTTTTTGATCGAAAGCGCACTGGCTCCAGACCAAGGCCGACTGGCTCAGGTTCGCACTGACCTGGGCCAGTGCACTGACCTGGGTCAGTGCGTCCCCGATCGCTGCTAGGGTGTGTGTGTGTGTGTGTGGTCAGCATCATGCCATGTCCCCACTGCCCGTTCGAGAGCCTCGCTGGGGACATCGTTGCGCAGGGGGTTGAAGGTGAGTTTGTTCATTTCCACCTCAAGAGCCGTCTTTGACTCCAAGTCCTCGGTCTCCTTCGAATCCAACTTCAGCAACTCCTGCTCGCCCTTATGTGCCGCCGCTTTGGTGGGGCTCTGCTGGGTGCCGTGTAGGTTCTCCCCCTTGCTGCCCATCTTGCCCTCGACTCGTCCACCAGCCTCGGCTTCACGGAGTAACTCAGGGGTAGACCCTGGGACTTGTCTTCTGCACCCAGGACAACTACTGTCGACCGTTATCAGCACATCATTGTATGCACATCGGTTGGAGACACAGCGCGACCACACGCGAGGAACGGTCCCCATGAAACCTGCTATGTTTGTTGTCACCTGCCGCCCTCAATGGAGAACGTGGTCGAAGTGCCTCAAGAACCACGTGCAGGCACAGAAGTCGGGCTTGCCAAACTGGTCTGAGCCTGAGTTGCTTGAGCCTCAGCGAATGAGGAACGGGAAGGGAGGAGGAAGGAGGGGAGGATGGGGAAGACGAGGGAGGGGCGAGGAGGAGGAGGGAGGAGGGAGAGGAGGAGGAGGAGGAGGAGGAGGAGCGATGCCATGTTGCATCGCCTCCTCATGCGTTGGCCGTCCCTCTTCGAGTCTGAGCGATCCCTCAGCGAAGCCGCCGGCAGACGCTTTAAATGCGCTGCGCAGAGCCGCACGTCACTGTAACTCTCCAAGGTGGTGACGCCACCGCCCCATTGCAGGCAAAACGGAACCATTGCTCTTATTTGTTCCTGCTGTTGCTCTCCGATTCGTTCGGATGGGCCGTTGATGATTCCATTCAATTTTCCCTCTTTCCTCCCTGCCCCCATCTCTTCATTCCGTCCCACTCCATTCCTGCCCTCCCCAACGTACTTTACATTTCGATGAATATTTTTGTTGCTACAAAGTGCCAGGATCTACCCAAGTGGGTCCCGACTCAGCAGGACGCTCCCTCTTTCATTCCTTCATATCGCGAGCATGGGAATTGCAGATGGCATGCGGCAAGGGCGCTATCCTTTCCAAATTTTGTTTGCAAGTGCCATGGATCGAAGTGTGAGTGGGAGGGCACGAAGAGGGTGAGGTGACAGCTGTTCAGGCAGCCTTGCCCCAAGTATCCTGACCTGGGCATGGCCGAAGTACCCCGCGAACACGCCGTTTGAGGATGCAGGTTTGTAGCGTGCCCCATCGCCAGGGTTACTGTCCCTGGCAATCTCGCACGCTCCCCACACCCAGACCTCCGACGACTGGGTCTTCTCGAGTCGCCGGACCCTGGAGCTCTCGACCGCTTCCCCTGCATCGCGTCTGCGAAACTCTCGCGAACTCGGCTCAGTCACCTCCGTGGCGGCGACGGCGGAGCTTTTCCTGGACTTTTACAGCGCGGTGGCGGTGTCCGATGAGAACATCGTTTGCACGTGAAGATGTTCAGGTTGCCCTGGACTGGCTTGCTCTGTCCAAAAACACTGGAGGAAGCGCCACGGCGGATGTTTTTCAGGTGATTTGATTTTTTCAAGCCGATGTAAGCTTGAGAGGTATACCCCCCCGTGTACGACATTGTACGCTCTGTTGACGTTTTCCGATTTCGAGCCCGTTTGGTGAAATTATAATTTTATTGAGGGACCTGAAAACTGAGGCGGTTGCGCCCCATCTTGCCGCTGTCGTGACTCGCGACATTGTACGGGGCTTCGTTCGCCTCACAGGGTTTCCTAGTGTATCTGGCCGCGCTCGCTCACTCACGGCGCGCATGCACGGCGATGTCCTGCCTTGACGTTGTCACGCGCGCATCATTTCTCCGGGGGTGTTTCTAGAAGTATCGGTCTGGCCCAGAGCGTCTTTGTATGTCTCCCAATCGTCGAAAAGATCGTGCCGCATCGCCGATGCAGCCGCGATGCGGCTCGATGAGGAGCCCGATTTTCTGCACGCCGACGTCGCGGATGCGTCGCCGACGTCGACGATGCATCGCCGATGCATCGGTGATGCGGCGCGATCCCCCGACCCCACCTGCTCTGAACCCCAGTTGGGAGGCCTCTGGTCTCATCCCGAGCCGTTCTTGGAGTGCCCCGGGGCTCCGAGGGCGGGCTGGGCGCCGAGATTCCATGACAGCCTCGGGCGCGGCTGCTCTCGAGCCGCCAGGTGTCCGGGCACGCTGCCTCCGGCGCTCCTCGGACGACTCTGCCCGCCGTCGTGCTGCCTCTCGCTCTTCATCGTTTGGCAGATCTCTATCCCCACTGGGTTTAAGGCGGGCCTGTCCCTCTACAGGAGGAGTATTCAAAAGTAGTAAAAAAAATCGTCTGGGGACTTTTTCAATTTTTGAATATTTTTGTATTTTTCATCATTCGTCCAAAATCCGCCTGTAGGGGGACATGCCCGACCTAACACTGGGTCATGGTACCTCAGCCGTGCCAGCCAAACCCCTCAGTTTGGGATGAGGCCCGCGAAGCCCGAAAGGCGCATCGCAAATCCCCGTCTAGGCATAAACACAAAATATCGACGGTCCGGGTTTTTTGTTTGGATCGGCGACCTTCATCTGTGGCGCGTGGAGCGCGCCGGGGGCGGCGCCGGAGGCGTCGCCAAGGGAGGCTGGCGCCCACGCAAGAAACCCGCTCGGACCTCTGACAGTTTCTGTGTCTGACGTGTTCTGTGTTTTTTGAAGTGAAGAGGGTAAATCAGTCAGTGGGTCCAGCGACGATCCAAGAAATCAGCGTGGAGCTCCGACAGTTTGCGTTTATACAGTTTTTCTTTGAGTCTAGGGGGTAAATCGGTTCGGGTTCGGTGTTCGCGGTTCGGTGTTCGCGGTTCGCGATTCGCGATTCCTCATCCTCTTTTTCGTCGTCTTTCTCTTCTCCCTCAGGGAGGGCGGCGCGAGTTCGCGAGGTTGTTCATGCCCAACGCCTCGTGTCGCGCGCAGCGCGAATATAGCCGCCCTTGGTCCAGAGTCCTTCCTTCCGAGCGCCACTGTGGACAGGTCTCCAAGGGCGAGCAGGTGGCACGTAGGCCACGGTAGCAACGGCGTCCGCTGCGGTCACTGCCCCCTCTTTCAAGCGAAAAACGAGGGGTTGGCGGCCGCACAGGCCCCTCACGCGCTCCGACCACAGAATACCTACGTACAGACACCCAGTGGCCCACAGAGAGCGGGGTGCCCGCAGACTCCTTAACGACCTTCTCAAACAGCAAGAGAAAGTCAAACCTGTAACTGAACGATCTGTGGCCTCAGACATCGGACCGGCCAGCCACTCAGGAGAGGAGGATCAGGAGGAGGAGGAGGAGGAGGGGGAGGAGGAGGAGGAGGAGGAGGAGGAGGAGGAGGAGGAGGAGGAGGCAGCAGCAGCGCCGTTACGACAAAACTGGCATTTCCGGCACTGCGAGCGCTGTTACGACAAAAGAATTGGGCTTGGACTGGCACTGGCAACGCCGTCACGACAAGGCCTCATAAGCCTACTCGAAGATCTCCTTGAGCTTATCGATCTTCGCCTGCAACTCTCGAGCCAATGACCCGCTCGCCTCCTGCCCCTGCTTCTCCTTGCCGCCGATGGTCCAGAGTCCACGGCCTTGCCCGTGGTCTGGGCCTCTCAGGTGGGGTCCGAGGGGTCGGAGGACTGCACCGCATTGCCGATGTATCGGCGATGCATCGGCGACGTCGGCGTGGATGCAATCGGTCTCGGCATCGAGCCGCATCGTGCCTCCAAGTGGGGCTGGGGGTCGGTTGAGCGATGCTCGGCCTCGGTCTCTGCCCCCCGCGCTCCCCCGCGGCGTCGAGCCCGCGAGCGCGCGAGGACTGGAAGCGGCGGTCCGAGGAGGCCGCCGGAGTGCCCAAGCACAGGGGGGGGATCCTGCCAACACCCGGGGGTGGAGGGTTTCTCCGAAGGGCTTAAGGCGATCCGTCCTCCTCCTCCTCCTCCTCCTCCTCCTCCTCCTCCTCCTCCATCTCCTCCTCCCCTCCCCCACCTTCTGCTCCTCCTCCTCCTCCTCCTCCTCCTCCTCCTCCTCCTCCTCCCTCCTCGGGTCGCCTACAGCCCCTCGGGATCCTGCCAACACCTGGGGGAGGAAACGGGTCGAGGTTTTGAGGCTTGACATCGCTCGGACGTGTGCATTTTTCTCTGCGGTGATTATCGAGGGGCATTTTGGATCATCTTGCGGGGAAGTCAACGCACAAGACCGAACAATGCACGGGGAATGGACGTCCGAGCGATGGAGAGGGGGAGGAAAAGTTTCAAGGTTAGAGGTCTTGAGGTTTTCGGACATTTTCGTCGGTTCCCGGTTGCTTTCCAACCTCGGAATGGGTTTCAGCAGCTGCACCTCGCCGAGAGCGTTCGGGAGGTTCTCAGATCGTCCCGAAGGTGCGACCCGAACACCACCGGGCACGGAGTGTAGGGGGCCGCCTGATTCATAAGAGGAGGGACAGAGGTACGGTAGGTCCGCGTCGTGTCGACCGGCGGCGACCCCGCCGCGGGCGTTCAAGGTTGAACGCCGCCAGTGGCCCAGAATCGGCCTATATGGAACGATCGAGCGATCGACGGTCGCCGATCGTTCGAGGTTGAACGATCCACGCGGAGTCAGAAACCAACGCCGGGGTCGTCACGACACGAACCTGACGTAGCGATACCGATGCCATTTTCTTTGTTTTCGCCCTCTTTGGCCTCCTGGAAGGTTTGCCTCGAGATTCTGAGCAGACCCCGGGAGAGGTCTTGGGAGTACAGTCAATCCGCATGGTAATGATGCGCAAATTTCCCGAGGATACCCTGGCATCCTTGCCCCTTCGGCCTATCGTTAGCCACTTTCGCTGGCCGCGCCCCGCTCGAAAAGCTTCGAAGTGGGCGTCCAAGGCCCTTGCATCCTTATCGCGGATCCTTACTATACGGGTTGGCTGTAGCGGTATAGGTATCCAGCTGCCTTTGGCAATGCCGCCACCGTGCCAGCGCAGAGCTCTAGGTGGCAGCTATTCGAGAAGGCAAGGGGGCTTGCTGGGGGCCTGTTGGGGCAGCCGGTGTGAATGCTTGGTTCGCGTTCCTGCTCTTGAGCCCTCCTTGGGGCCGTCTTTGGGGCAGTCTTGGGCGCCTCTTGGGCCGTCTTGGACCCCCATTAGGCCGTCTTGGAGCTGTCTTGGGCCGTCTTGGGGCTTCCTGGGCGCCTTTTGGGCCGCGTTGTGGCAGTCCTGGCGGCCTCTTGGGTCGACTTTGGATCGGCGTCACCCCAACATACTAATACTACGTGTGCGTCGCCCACCCCAGGGGCGACGCGCGCATCGCAGAATCTCATAGTATATGCGTCGTGGCGGGCGCTTTCTGGCCACACCGCTCGGGAAACGATACACTACAGGCTGTGTATACCATATGTTCGGGGCAGACGCGCGCCTCCAAGGAGGACATGTAGTACTAGTATATCTCTGTGCGTATCAAGGGACGCCGGAAGCTCGAAAAGGCCATAACCCGAAGCACATTGAAGCACCACAGAAACATCCCCGATGTTTGCCTATCGAGGCCCTTTTGGGAAGGCTCTTGGGGCTCTCCTAGGACTCCTCGAATGCCTCGTGGGCCGTCTTGAAGCCATTTTGGACCGTCTTGAGGCCAAAGTGGCCCGTCTTGGAGCGAGATTGGACCGTCTTGGAGGATGGCGAAGTTGTAGAATTTTGCGAGGGGTTGTGGCCTCGGGGAGAGGAGGGAGGTGCACGCAGCCGGGTGCTTGCCGAGAGGGTGGGCGCCCCTTAGGATCTGAAATTTATGGGGTTTCGGGTTGCAGCGGGGGCGCGCATCAAGAAACTGACTGCTTTTCGTCAGGGTACCCTGGGTTTCTTCGCTCCGCGCGCTGCGCGGTGGGTTCCCTTGGCCGTCGAAGGAGCTGCTGCGTTCAGGGTGCTCTGGGCTCCCCCCACTTGCATCTCGCACCTGCGGCTTTCAGGGCTGGGTTTCTTGCGAGGGTTTCTTGCGGCCGCGCCCGCACTGTACGCGATGGGCATTT